ATTAAGTTTTTTCTTATTTCTTATATTACTTAAAGAGTTATATATTAATTTTAATAGTAAGTTTAATATAAAATAAGAAGTCCTTAAGTAAGTTAATAATCTTATAAAGTTTATTCTTAATATTATCCTTAAGTCTTTAGTAAAAAGTAAAAATTAGTAATTCTTAAGTAATATTAAGTTAAGTAGCTAATTATTAGGATTTAGGTATATAGTAAGAGGTTAACTTAGTTTATTATAAACTAGCTAGGTCTTACTTAGCTTATTACTTCTTATTAGGATCTTAAAATAGTAACTATAAGGCCTTTATAAAGCTAGTTATACTTCTAAAGATATTTTATATCTTATAGAAGTATATAATAAGGTTACTATTATACTTAAGAAATTCTTTTAAGTAAGGTTTATACTAAAAAAGTACTTTTCTTTATTAAAAAGTTCTTATATAGATAACTTATTTAGTCTTACTTCTAAAGTTAGTAGTATAAAAGGTCTAATAAGTATAAACTTAAATTAAAAAGCTTTTTATCTATTTATTAGTCTTATTATAAGTTCTAAGTAAGTTACTATACTTATTAATTTTAAAAAATAAGTATAGTAATAACACTTTCTTACTTTACTTTATAATAATTAGACCTTAAATCTTAACTAGTAGTAGCCTATAGTAAATCTGCTTTTACTAAGAAAAGCTATTTTCTTTATAAGGAAAATAGTTACTTTTTTACTACCTTTTTCTTAAAGAAAAAAAGGCTAGCCCTAGTAGTAAGTCTAGCTTTTAGAAAAGCTTTACTTTATAAAATATATATTAACTTTATTTTTTTTAACTATAAGTCTATATACTTAAAAGAAAAGTTAATATATACTTATAACTACTAGAAAGTTAGCTAGTTAAAAAAAGTAAGAAATTAGCTTTAAATCCTTTAGTAATAATAGTTTATTTTAGTAATAACTAAGCTTACTTTATAAAAAAAAGTATTAAACTTAATAGTAGCTACTATAGTAATAATAACTATAATAAAGTAAGTAGCTATAAAAGTATTTAATATAATAAAAGTAGCTATTATTATAATTTATTAAAAAAAAGTAAGGAAAATAGTAATCTTTTTAGACCTTTACTTAGCTAAAAAGCTTTTATATTATAGGTCTAAATATATAAAAAATAAAAAATAAAAAAGTTTAAAGCTATATATAGCTAGCTAGTATATACTTTTAAGTAGGCTAGTAAGTTATATAGGCTTTTTTAGGCCTTATAATTTATAGTATAATAATTACTACTTATTAAAAAAAGTCCTTACTACCTTTAGTAACTACTATTACTATTACTATTACCTTTATTTTAGCCTTTATTATAGCCTTTACTTTAGTCTTTATTTTTATTATAGCCTTTACTTTAGCTTTTATTTTCTTTATTACTTTAGTTAGTTACTAGCTAATTAGTAATTAAATTATCTTTATTTAGCTTACTACTATAGTTACTTTTACTATAGTAACTACTTTTATAGCTACTTACTTTACTATAACTATTATTACTATAGTAGCTACTACTAAGGTTAGTACTTTCTTTTATAAAGTAGACCTAGTTACTACTAAAATAAACTATTACTACTAAAAAATTTAAGGCTACTTTTTTACCTCTTTTAACTAGCTAACTTTCTAGTAGTTATAAGTATATATTAACTTTTTTTTTAAGTATATAGACTTATAGTTAGAAAAAATAAAGTTAATATATATTTTATAAAGTAAGGCTCTTCTAAAAGCTATACTTACTACTAAGGCTAGCCTCTCTTTTTTTAAGAAAAAAGTAGTAAAAAAGTAACTATTTTCCTTATAAAGGAAGTAGCTCTCCTTAGTAGAGGTAGATTTACTAGAGGCTACTACTAGTTAAGATTTAAGGTGTAATTATTATAAAGTAAAGTAAAAAGGCGTTATTACTATACCTACTTTTTAGGATTAATAAGTATAGTAGTAAGCTTTAGTAATAGGTAGGCTAGTAGATTACTACTACTTACTTAGTTATACTACTATTTATTATAATTTATTAAGAAAAAAAGAAGGTAGAGAAGATAGTAATCTTCTTAGACCTTTAATTAGCTAAAAAGCTTTTATATTATAGGTCTAAATATATAAAAGATAAAGAAAAAAAAGGTCTATAAAGCTATATATAGCTACTAGCGTGTGCTTTTAAGTAGGCTAGTAATTATATAGGCTCTTCTAGGCTATATAATTTATAGTATAATAACTACTTACCTTAACTTAAAACTACTTTAATATAATATAGTAAATATATTTATTTATATTATTATTAATAAGGTAGTATTTATAAAGATATCTCTAGGCTACTAAATTACTAGCTAGATTCTCTAGCTACTAAAAGTGCTATATAGGCTTTAGTAATTACTTTTACTATAGTAAAAGTACTTTAAAAAAAGACTTACTATATAAGGCTTTTACTAAGTGCCTAGTAGGAGTTACTATTAAAAAAAGAGTTATATTATATTATTGTTTTATATTAATAACTATATACTAGGCTATTACTATATAAGTAAAGTATAAGTAAGTAATAAAATAGTAGCCTTTTAGTAATAATACTACCTTAAAGATAGAAGTCTACTATAATAGTTCTTTAGCCTTAAGGTAATTTATAACTAAAGTAACTACTATTTCTAGCTTTTATAAGTAGTATAATATAATAAAGTAACTAAACTATTACTTATTAATAGATAATATAATAAGTTATTACTTATAATAAAAGCTAAGCTACTACTTAGTAAATATATAGCCTTATAATAAGAGGTTTAATTAATATAAAAGAAAGTAAAAATAATTATTTATATAATAGTAATAACTTAGCTAGATATTATCTTTATAGCTAACTAACTTACTTACTTAAACTAGTATCTAAATCTAAACTACTAAAAGGCTATAAGTTATATACTTAGATATTTTTATTAAATATAATCCTTTTACTTTAAATATAAAGTAATATTAAGTAGTAAAGATAATATATTAGAGGTTACTTTAGATATATTATTTACTAATAACTTACTAGACTATTATAGCTTATAAGTATATATACTAAAGCTATTTAAAGTGCTTATCTCTTAGTAAGCTAATAAGTAAAATATAGTAATAATATTAACTACTAAAGCTAAATTACTAATACTATTATTTATTATAAAAGAGGTACTTTTTACTAATAGATTAACTACTATACTAGGTATTAAACTATTAACTTAACTAAAAAATAAATTATTACTTAATAAGTAAGTAGCTACTAAATAGTTACTAACTATTTATATTAGTTATAATAATACCTAGACTATTAAGCTTATTACTAAGAAGCTTATTTAATTATAAATAAGGCTATAGTATATAAATATTTATAACTACTAGCTATATTAAGAAGTAGTAGTAAATTAAATTACTATTAAATATAAAAAGTCTACTAAATTAACAGCTAATAGATTAATAAAGACGCTTAGTATACTATAATTTACTATATTTATAGCTTAATTAAATATAAGTAACTAATATATATACCTTAAAGTAAACTAATAATAAGAATTAGTTAATAATAAAGTAAAGCTTTACTACTAAATAAAGAAAAAAAAGTATAAGATATTAAAAGATAATTAATAAGTAAATAGGCTATATATAGAGGATATTTAGTATAAGCTTTATAGTAATTAATTATGTTACTAGTACTAAGGGGGTGTATTAAATATAGTAGAATTATATATAAATTTACTAGTAAATATATAGTTACCTTATAGTAAATTACTAGGGAATAAGTAGTAAAATTATCTTACTTTAATAGTAATTTTACTAGTAATATTACTAAGATTAGCCTAGGATTTCCTAACTAAGAAATAGAGGGATTTTCCTATTTTTATAGGATTTTACTATAGCTATATAATATATAATAGAATTAATTAATTAACTATTATAATCCTTATAATTTAATAACTCTTTTCTAAGAGATAAATATATAGATTATTATTTTTTCTTATTTTAGGTAGAGAAATCTATTGAAGAAATAACTAGTGTATTTATAACTAATTACCTTATATTACGCCTATACGTATATAGCTAATTTACCTACTTTAATAATAGGTTATTATTATTATTATATATAGATAGGTAGGTAAATAGGTAGGTAGTTAGATTAACTCTAGAAAAACAAAGAGGATATAGTAGACCTGTATATAGTTATTTAACTAATTAGAATATTTAAATATATCTATTATTTAATATAAATAATTGTTAATTAAAGTGTATTACTTTAGGGACTGTAGGCTGCCCTATAGATATGTCTGCCTAGTAACTACTAAGACCCTACTCTATAACTTAGGCTACCTATAAAGTTAGGCCACCCCTAGATAAGAAAGTAATAAGAGATAAGTGTTCTAACTTAACTATTTTTTACTATCTTAACTATATAATAAAAAATATTAGAAGTAGAATAGTGGTTTCTAATAAGACTAATATATAGTAAATTAAATTTACTATAATTCTTTTTTAGCTCTTTATAGCTACTTATATAAAAGCCTTTATTTATAAGAGTAGATAAAGTAAAGTAAGTAAATCTAGATATAGAATTAATATAGAATTTTAATACTATATATTAACTATAAAATAAACTCTATTTAAAATTCTATCGCTTTTGGACTTATATCTGATTTTTAAAAAATTGCTAAATCTGTGAATTTAGTGTGAATTTGGCTAGAATTTGGTGTGATTTTGCCTGGCCCGACTTTGGGGGTGGCCCGAGTTGTAGGGTGGGGTCTTACCCGTCCGGCCCTATCTGACCACGGGAACCACGGGCAATGCAGACTAGGGGCCCCGCGAGACCTGGATGCGGCCGCGGGTGGTGGGGGGGCATGGCTGGCGTGGAGCGAGACAAGAATGTGTATGATCAATTTCAGCTGTCATGAGTACTTGGCAATATATTTCCAGGAGCTTCGGCTACCCAACCTAAGTTGATAATAACAGCTAGGGAATTTGCGTTACCCGTTCCCATGCTGCCTGCCCATGACAAACTCAGCGTCCATCAGCTCCGAAACCTTGTCAGCCAGGTCTTGCACAGTCTCGGACCTAATGATTTCGTGGAAGGGTAAGTCCACAAATAAGTATTGAGTGATCCAGTCTCTCAGCTGACTGGTGTTTAGCGAATCCAGTCCAAGCTCGTCAAGGATTGTAGAAGGGCGAAGCTCGATGCCTGGGCGAGCGAGTGACTCCGACAGGACATCAATCAGAACCTTTGTGATAAGGTCAACAGTTGCCCTCTTGCGCAGCTGACCTGGATCTGTTCTGGCAATGCGGACAATAGTTTCAAGAGTATCCTCTTGTTGCAAGTCTTTGCTCACGTGGCGCTCATTGTTATAAGTATGGGCCCCACCCATCCGGGCATCTCGTTTCCAGAGCACATGGGTGGATGGGTCCGCGATAGGTCGCTTGGTCCAAAGACCGAGGACAATTTGAGTCTTGTCCCCTTTGTTGTTGCTTGACCCTTGGGGCCGAGAATGCAGAATACTGGTTTCAAGAGCACCTAGAAGGTCTTGCTCGTTCAGGATGCAGCACCCGTCAGCCTCGGCTTTGCGAACTATGCCGTCCATCCGAGCGGCAACGCCGACATCTCCCATGACACCAATGTCAACTACGGAGGCGGCTAGCCCCATGCCATGTCGATAATGTGCGAAACCATCCAGAAATGTGTTTGCGGCGTTGTAGCTGAGTTGGCCAATTTGGCCGACAATGCCACTCAAAGAAGAAAACATGACGAAAAAATCAAGGTCATGGTCCAAGAGTGCCTCGTGGAGTCGGAGAGTGCCATCTACCTTTGCCGCGATGCTTTCCACCCAGAACTGCAAAGTCATTTTCGATAAAGCGCGGTCCTGCTCTGATTTTTAGTATTGGCCTGCATTTGGAACTGATCTTCGGGGAAGGGAGGGTACATACGCCTAACACCATAGACATTTGGAAAACACCAGCGATGGGTTTTCCTGCCGCTCTAATGGTTCGGATTAGGTCCTCTGGGTTGACGACGCTGCCTGCCACTGTCTTCACATCACAGCCTTGACTGCGCAGCTCGCCCAGGAAAGCCGAGGTGTCCGGACCCTCTCCGGCCGAGCGTGAGAGGAATATAAGTTCTTTGGCTCCTTTTTCCACCATCCACGTTGCGACAGTGCGGCCCAGTCCGCCAAGACCTCCAACAAGGATATAAGACGCATCAGGCCGGAAGCAGAGCCCCGTCGCTAATCCTGACATCGGGAGCTGCTTACGCGTTTTTTCGGTTGGGAGCCTGAGAACCGCATGGCCGAAGTCAAAAGAAGTGGCTTGGAGTGCTTCACGATGCTGTTCGGCTTCAAAGGTTTTGCCGCTAGCAAATGGTAGCTTATAACCCTGCGACTCGTGCAAAGCTTTTGCTATCAGCTGAGGCTCGGCTTGTAGTAATTGGTGAACCTGGACGAGGCGGTAGGCCTGGGAACCCTGAAGGGGCGGTGCTGCTTCCTTTACCGAATGAGGTGGCTCTGACAACACGTCCAGGAATGTGCCGGATGAGGATAGACAGCGTAACAGCAAGTTGCGTGACTCTTGGCCCCCAAAAGCGATGATGTAGTCAGCCCGCAGGTTGCTTAGAGGGCCATTCTCCAAATCCCCATCAGACAGAATAAAAGGGGAGGGGATCTGAAGGCCGTTCTCGAGAAGGGACCTGTGGGAAGATGACTGGATAGTGAAGTACAAGTTTGCCTCAATCATCTTTAGTTGCTGCACAGTCGCCAGAAATGCAAGACTCTTGACGAATGGTAAGAGGATAGTCTTTAAGTCAAGCCTTGGTTAGCAGCCAGAACCAGCGGTGTTGGATCATCGCACACGACCTCACTTACCGCTCCTTTCTCAATTTTCCCAAATTCCACAACGCATAGGTAGGCAGTCACGCGAGCAAGGGGCAAGGAAGCGGCATCCTCAAGTGATTCGTCGTCGGAAAGACGAAGACAGTTCGCGGATGCGATGTCCAGGTGGCTCGCAACAGCGCCATTTGCCAGAAAGGCAACCCTATCTCCAACGTGGAAGTCTTGCACGCCACTGCCCACCTCTTTGACGATGCCAGCACCCTCTTGGCCTAAAGATAAGAACCTGGTATCGATGGTGGCCCTGGCCAAGGTCAAGTCCTACCAGAAGAGTCGCTTAGCCGGCGAGTACACGGGTATGAAATGGAGGTTGATGAGCTGTAAACTTACATGTTTGCTAACCGATGCCACTTCTACCTCAACCCTGATCTCATCTGGGCCGACAGCGTCAGGCAGTGGATAGTTTACCCATTGCAAAGAGCTGACATCCTGAGGCTTTCCAAGGGCAAGTTTTGCGAACGACTTTGACCCAGACCCCTGTGACGCGCAGAGAGAAAGCTCTTCTTCTGTTGTAGTCCATTGCAACCTCGGTACCTTGAAGGAATCGCCTTGAACGATGGCTATTTCGGCATCTGGAGGCCCAAAGACATCACCGAAGCGTCTGTGCGGCAAGCTCCTGAGAATTCGTAACAGAGCCTTGCTGATAATCTTTGGATCGCCTGCCTTGGTGTCTACCTCGATCACAGTAATGTCGTCTTTCACCTCGTGATGCAATGTACGCGCAAAGCCATGGATCATAGCGTAACGTGCGTCTTTGCAGTCTCCCTGGTGACAGGGGGATGTTATCCAAACCATCGGGCGTTGTGACTTGAGCAAGAGCTCGATAAAGCTCATGAAAACTACAAAGGCCTCGGGGCTGTTGGATAAGTTGTAGGGGTACGGGCCAGCCAGATCTAGAAAGAATACCAAAGGATCTTTTCCGGGGGGGATGTTGTCCATGGCGGTTTTCTGAAACGTGATTGAAGTGGTTGATAGGTCCGACTTGAACTGTTCGACAAGCATGTATTTCTCATTGGGCTCGATGATGTGGATGTGCTGAGGGACGTCAGCCAGCAAGGGTCGTAAAGTTAGCGGCGATCTAAGCCTGTCACTTTCGTTTTTCCAGGATAGGTCAAAACCGGCGTGACTGAGTGCTGACAGAATATGCGATTCCTTGGGCTCGGACTCTTTGGTAAAGGCTACTCCTTCGTCGTCTGTTGTGCCCGTTAGTATTTCTCTGTCTTCTCCGAGGTTCCAACCTTACCTTGGAGTATCTCAAACAGGATGAGCACACCAGCCCCGGTCGGTCGAAGCAAAGTTTTCACCAAAGTGAGGTACTCCTCAAGCTTCTCTGTCAAACCTTGGGACGCCTAGTGACTGGGGTCAGCGATGCGTATGAGAGACCGGCTGGTTGTCCCATCTAGTGTTACTCACATTGTTGCTGATAATAACATCATAGCCATGGATGTTTGACGAGTCGTTGGCCACCGATGGCCAGGATTTGACTTCGAGGCCATCGACGTCTCCCAAAGATTCTTTCGCCTTTTCACATCCTTCTGAGGACAAGCCTGCGTATTGGTACTCAGAAAACATTTGGCGACCTTTGGTTGGCCGGAGATGCTTCAAAAGCCATTCGGTCGTCGTTGTGTCTGAGCCTGGACCAATTTCCAGGATCCTCAGCTGTGGATTTGTGTGCGTGAGAACGCTCATAACCTTTGCTAGGTACTCTTCCGAAGTCCCTTGAACCTCATGAAATGGGTAAAACGTTGCCGAGTCATGCCACTTTACTGTACTCAACAGAGGCATTTCAACAGTGGACTTGACATGATTAACTGTCGGAGTCGCCTCAATGCCGCTCATAGTCATGAGCTCCCGCCCATCGTTCGTGTAAGCACAAACTGTCCCCGAGAGCTTCCCGTCCAGAGTTGACACTTCTGCTGTTCCCGTAGCCCAGAAACTCATGTTGCTTTCGTGGCGACAGATAAAGATATGTCTGACAGATGTAGGCCTGTATCCGTACTTGGCATGTCGAGGCAGACCATGGCAATACGCTATACCCATCATTTGCATGCACTGGTCGGTTGCTGATGGATGGATGAGATAATGTCCCGTAGGTTCATTGTTCAAAGAATGTACGCAGGCTGTTGCTGCCATCTCAGAGGGGCTCGCCGTGATATTGTCAATGCCTCGAAATGTGAGACCGTATGTGTAGCCTCGACGCTGCACGGAATCGTACCAGAACTTTGAAGATATCGCGCGCGGAAATACGCTTCTCTTGATATTCCTTAGAGGCCGATGGGGAAACGGACCTGCCCGTATCAGAGCGTGGCACTGCTCTGTCCATATGTTGTTCTTCCAGGATGTGATTTGAACGCTGTAGGAGGTTGCATCCCCATCGCCGAGACGTCTCAACCTGGTATGGATCTCGACTGGCGTGCCAGGATCCAATTGCAAGGGCTTAGTCACGATGAAGTCTCTGGCCTCAAAGGAGTCCAAAACTCCACCTGGTGTGACCTGGCGTAGAGCTTCTTCTGCTATCGAAAGGTATCCCGTAAAGGGAAAGATGCAAAGACCGTCGATGACATGATCAGCCAACCAAGGAACATCTTGAATGTTCAGCACCTTACGCCAGGCCGGCTCTAAAGCGCTTGTTTCAAACACACGACGGCCAAGAAGATCGTGCATAGGAAATTTGCTTTCCTGGTAGGCCTTCATCAAGCGGTGCTCTGCTGTGAAAGACTCGTCGTGAGCCCATGTATACGGAGGCACATCCGCAAGAGTCCTGCCTGGAGGTGTAAAGGCGCTGTAGTCCATGTTGACATGCTCGCAGAATAGCCTCCCAGCAACTCTAAGCAAGCTACCGTCGTTGCTCTTCGGCTCTAGTGTCGGTACCCAGGACGCAGTCATGTCAGGGAAATCGCCCAAGATCTCTTTAATGGGGCCTTGGAGAGCCGGGCGGGCGCCAATTTCCACTATCACTGGGTGAGCGGCCTGGCTTCGATTAGATCCCAGTGACTCCAGTAGGCCTCTCAGAGCATTATGAAATCGAACGGGCTGAACCAGACTTTGATGCCAGTATTTGGCATCAGCAAGAACAGTGGGATCAGCGACGCGTCCTCCTGTGACGCTAGAGAAGAATGGCACTGGAGCCGCGGTCGAAGTTGATTGTACGAAGGGGCGGATTGCCTTTTCATACTCTGGGCCACATGGCAGCATATGAGCTGCGAAATTGTCAGCACCTCAGGGTTGTGTGTTAGGGGAAATTGGGTACATCGCACTTACGTGAGTGGTAGGCAAAGCCGATATTGAGGGTCTTGGCCAAGATACCGTCGGCCTTAACTTTGCCAACAGTAGCTTCAACTGCCGACTGATCACCAGAAATTGTGGTCCTAGACTGGCTGTTCTCACAACCGACAACGACTCCATCAACCAAATAGTTGGCTATCTTATCAGAGCCGAGCATCACGGCTGCCATGGTGCCTTTTTGCTCCGCAATTCCGGTACGCTTAGGAACTGTGCCTCGAAAGTACGCTATAATAATAGCCGTCTCTGCAGTTAGAACGCCCGCAGCATAGGCCCCTGCGATCTCTCCACTCGAATGACCACTGATAGCGTCAGGGAGAACGGACCAACTCCGAAGAACATCCGTGATGCCGATCTGAACGGCAGTGCAACAGGTTTGTGCGTATTCAGAATCCTCAAAACGGCTTTGAGCCTTGTCCTTGACTAACTCGGCCTCGATGGTCCAAGAAGGCCTGAGATGTTGTGGTAGTTGGTTTCTGAGCGCCGTGTCTAATCTCCGAATGCATTTGAGGAATATCGGACTGGTTTCAACCAAAACCTTGCCCATTGTGGCCCAATGTGTCCCCTGGCCGTTGAAGACAAAGACGACCTGTCTTGTCTTTGGCTTAACAACATGACCACAATTTTCTGGTTCTGCGCTTTGACTCTTGTTGTTGGCAATAATGAAAGACCGATAAGCCATCTTGGATCGCCGGATCCCCAGTGTGTAAGCCAGATCCGCCGTGTTGGGCGACCTTTCCCGAATATATTGCATATAGGCCTGTTGTAGTAGCTCAAGAGATTTTGGGTTTGATGCCGATAACAATAGTAAATGGGACTCTTCCGAGCTAGTGGTGTTGATATGGCTATCTTTGTTTTCATAGGCTTCCAAAATGACCTGAGCCAGAAGCTGTCAGTTTCCATTGCGAAGCAGTCCGTCCAAATCTAGGGGTAGCCGGAGTAGACTAACATGTGTGTTGGTGCCACCCATACCAAAAGCATTAACACTGATTCTCTTACACCTGTCCACAGGAAAAGGTTGTACCTTCGTCGGAACCTTGATCAGGCCGTTGGCCCAAGAAACTATACGTTTGTGTATCAGTAGATGGTATTTGACAAACAATATCTTTGATAAGATGCGCCGTGGAAATGCTCACTATTTGGATTGGGCTTCTCAAAGTTGGCATTCGGTACAATGGTTTCTCGCTCAAGCATGAGAGTCGCCTTGATAATGCTGGTCAAGGCAGCGGCGCCCTCCGAGTGCCCGAAGTTGGGCTTGGCCTAAAGGCGGAATCGTCGAATTATATTAGCAGGGCCCTCTAGGGTAAAGCAGAAACCAGGGAACAAGGTGAGCTTCTACTATGTCATTGGACTTACGCTACCGATGAGTATGCCGTGTTCCCCGAATATCCTTTCGACGGCCGCAACCTCGATGGGATCTCCCACAATTGTCCCTGTGCCGTGACATTCGAAAAATGCAGTCTTAGAGAAGTCTCTAATGCCAGCAATATCATAAGTGTGTCGAATGAGAGATTCCTGCGCGTGTCCATTGGGTATCAACATGCCGGATCCAGAGCCATCATGCTGAGTAGCTGTGGATCGAATGATAGCGCGGATGGGATTTCCATCTCGCACCGCATGAGAAAGCCTTTTGACATAGATGGCGTTGACTGCCTCGCCGCGCCCAAGCCCGTCACAGTCAGCGTCAAACGTCTTGCAAATGCCCTGCGGAGAGACCGTAGCGCCCACAGTGCCAAATGAACCCTTGGTGGCAATGGGGCCTGACAAAAACATGCTACAACCAGCGATGATGGCAGAAGAACACTCGCCGGACTTGACAGCCTGTTCAGCTAGGTTCAGAGCTACCAATGTCCCGGAGCACCCGGTCCTGATGGTCATACTAAGATGAGTTCATGCGTCAGGATCTTGTCATGCGCCACACGTTATAAGTACCAGACGCTTTTACTCACCTAGGGCCTCGGAAGTCGTACACATATGAAATTCTATTGGACAGCATAAAATCCCATTTTCCAGCGGGGTAATGATCAAAGTATTGTGTGTCACGTTCCATTTCAGTGGTCCAATCCTCTGCAAAAGAGCCCACATAACAACCAACAGCTTTGCCCTGCCAATTCACCTCCCCAGCGTTCTCAAGGCACTCCCACGTGATCTCCAAGAGCAATCGCTGAGCTGGATCCATCTGTTCGACTTCTTTCCGACTGAATGGAAAGTGGCATGTATCGAAACGATCCAAATCGACATGGTCTAGGATGTAGGCCTTCTCGAAATGCATTGTTCCTGGTCGCGGGTGCCGACTATAATATCCTTCCACGTTGAATCGGCTGCCGGGGATCGGAATGGATGCACAACGCTTTTGCAAAAGTAGCTCCCAGAGTTGTTCTGAGTTGCTTACGCCCCCGGGAAGTCTCATGGCCATGCCACAGATGACGACGGGGTCATCATCCAAGGTGACCATATTATGACAACCATCGCTCGTTTCCATATCGTTGGATGGCTTGTGAGTTGCCATGATGTTACTCGGAGGCTGAATATTGATGGACTTTTACGCTCAGATATGTAAATCTCAGTAAGAAGATATATCCAAAACGACTGGCGACCTAATTTAATTCCAGTAGTCAACATGGCATGGCTATTTATGCCCAGTCAACGAAATGTGATTGACACGCCATGAAACGGCCAGTTTGCCAATTCTACTGGTGACCCGTATGCAAAGACAGGCCCGATTTAGTTAGGTGAGGCCTTCGGAACTATCTGCCCTCATAGGCTACTTTGTCCTTCCATAACATCACTCTCGTAAATATACTCCCCTAAGGCTCCCAAGTTATTCCCTGGAAGCGAATTGTTGAGACTCAACTAGGTTGCAACCCACGCAAGCTTCTAAATCTACATTTTGAAATCATCTGCAGGGGCTAAGTGGCAGAGCTAGTTAAAACTAATTTGTCTTCAGGAATCGATTCATCACCTTCGTTAGATATCAAACACTGAACCGTCTAAACACAACCGACATAAAGCAAACCGCCTCTCTCGTGAGAAACATCAAAGAACCAGGAGTGAAGTGTTAGGGTAAAGTTAATAAGTTGAGCAAAATGCTATCTAAGTTATGACCCACATAACCTTCTGGTTCTAACCTCAACCATCTGGAGCTAGATCTCGGAGCTCAGAGCTAGTTCACATCAGCTTGCTGTTAAAACCTAGTTTGTCATTTCAACTAAAAGTCGAAAGCTAGTTTTGCGGGGTAGATTCAATAACTGCATATCTAATAATCTTCGGTCACTAGGAGCGAATCTGCCATTGCCGCGGTATTCTATATTCTTTCACGATATATACATATAATTACAATTTCTAGAAAGTCTAGATTGCTAACTGTCTTAAAAATTAATTCTCGTGTAGGTCAGTGCCTTAATGCTTCAAAGTCTCTCCTGACCATTATACTTCGCAGTCTATATATTAAACAAACACCTATATACGTAATGCCCGCTGCTGTAGAGTTTATCTGTAACATCGTGAGGCTAAAAAACAATTAGAATGCTTATACATCTATGAGGAGTCATACACCCATTTCTGAAATCAGAATTTCCATCTTTAAGATCAAGCCTCGCTATAGTTTGTTAGTAGCAACTAGCAGGTAAGCGATGTAAAACTTTAGAACATTGCTTGGAAGACTGAGACTCCAAAACCTAGGTGACTATACTTTTAGTTAAGAAGACGATGCCATTGCAGTAGGGATGCACAGAGATGGGGCTCAGTAAAGTTCACTGTTGTTGCAACTTTACTGTGAATTTGTGGTGTTTCTCTTTGCATCCACAGACCTCTCTCTGCCTTGTTGCCTCTCCAGGGACAAATCAACGAGTTTGCAGCGGAGGAGTGTGGACAGAGTAGAGTTGATGGAGTGATAAAAACTGGGAACCGGTGATAGATAGATCCAAAGGTTAAAGCACAAATGATGAAACACGGGGTGCCGCATCGCCCGATACTTTTGGCTAGTTCCCACCCCTAGTTTGGTATCTTCACGGGTGGTCGGGTGGATTATCCAAGAAGCAGTTCTTCGGACATCAGACTTCGCTAACCCTGACTGTTAAGATCTTGGGGAAACATTCCGAGTGCTACACCGGGTCGAAGATGGCATCCTTTCGACTTATTATATACCTAGTTATGTGCGATTATGAGCCGCACATCGTGATACACCTATTTTGTAAGAATTGCAAGCTCGCTTAAAATACACAGTAGAGTGTTAGTTTCTCTTGCGCAGACTTGAAGAGTGTTGGTTGGCCTATGCTCTCCGCCTCTTTATACACACATCAGCATTGCTAGTAGACATAGCGTAATATCCACAGAACACGTCGAAAGATGACGAATTCTCAGCAGCATCATGCTTGGTATGTATTCCCGATATGGGGGCACATTACCAGTTCGATGTCTCTGATTCTCGAAATGCTACGAGTGAATCCCGCCTTAGTCGTGACATATGTCACTCACCAATCTGTTGGTATGTGGAAGGATCTGCACACACTTTACTCTTCAACAATCGCGACTTTTGGAGTTGAGTGTTAAGACCCCACACATCACTAATCAGAAGGCCTGATGTAATAGATTTCACTCGTTATCTCGATATGCCACACGACCGCTTTCGTATTGTGACGTGCGGCAATACTGAGTAAGTAGAGAATGCAAGCTCATAGAGCTGACCGTTTGATAAATTAACGTCACAATATTGATGGCGAGCCGTCTAGCATCTTCAAGAACTCTCAGGAAAATCCTGTGACACACATCGTCTCCCAACTTTCCCAGTGTTGGATAGAGACTCTTCAAAAGCTATGCGATGACTCCGGGTGCGCATGGCCTAGACCCACTGCGCTGATGCTGGACCATACTGGTCCGCTTCCCACGCTGCCTGTGGCCAAGCAAATTGTTGGCCTTGAATGCAAGACTTTCATGTACTGGCCAGGCAGTGCAGCACGTCTTTATTCGTACCTCGCACCTTCGAATAAGGGGGGTTTCAGCGACTGGGAGGCGACCGTCGACAAGTATTACATGGATGAAACTCTTCGTATGGGGAGAGATAGAGGTGAAATAGCGGAGGCGGTATGTGTCACAATTTCGTCCACTTTTGAGAGGGTGTATGATTGGTACCCTAATCAAGGAACGACAAGGTCTGCACCGCAAAGAACGGAACGGATAAGTTGATTGGGATGACCATTTCCATCCCCGGACTGAAGGATATGTACGACTACGAACGAGAATTTGGCGAAGTACCCATGCGTTCAGGTTGGGCTCCCCAATCGCTCTTTGTTTAGCAGCTATTAGGGGTAAGGGGCTTTTCTTTGCTGACAATATCAACAGTCGTCTCTGGAGTACTACAAGAGACCACCAGCCTCGTAAAATCCACAGACGCTATAATATGCGCTTCGGCCGTTGCACTGGAAGGCGAAACGCTGACTGCATGCAAGAAATTTGCAGCCGTGTACCCTGTGGGCATTCAGATTCCACCACGCGGGTGGTTGAAGAATACCGAGCAACCGGTCATCCACGACGAGAAACTACGCATGTTTCTTGATGGCAATGACAGTGGAAGCGTGATTTTGATATCTTTTGGGTCAGTTGGACTTTCCTTGTCTCCAAGAAGCACCACTACGAGGTATCGGTCGGTCCATCTAACCTGTTGGATAGCTCCATCGTATTCCCCACCAACCTCAGCGCTTTGTGGATCCTGACATCCACCCTCGAGAAGATTGGATACCCGTTTGTCCTGGTTCTTGGTGGACTGCTTGTGAATGCAAAGGGGTATGCTACTGACCTCGCTCGTATTCGCGCTGGCGGAATCGGGTTTGTTTGCGAGACATGGGTCGATCAATTGGCCGTGCTTCAACACCCTGCTGTTGGCTGGTTAGTTGCACATGGAGGCTTCAATTCGGCAGTCGAGAGTTTGGTTCAGGGCATCCCACTATTTGGATGGCCATTGGCCCCGGGCGATAATGCCATTAACGTGGCTATGCTTTCGACCAGGGATAAGCCTGTGGCGTTCGAGTTCATGCAGATCAGGACGGGTAGCGCCAAAGAAAAGCCTATGAGAGGAGGTCCTAGGATAACTGGCACTGATGAGAGTATAAGGCGCGAGATCGAGGACATAGTTTCGCGGATGAAGGGACCAGAGGGGTCAGTATTAAAGGCAAATGCTGAGCTGCTTGCTGCAGAGTTGAGGTTGGAGAGGTATGGGGCTGCTAAAAAGGTAGTGAGTGAACTGGCCTTGGTCTAGCGCCCGTCCACAGTATAGCACTGTAAGACCGATATCGATATTCCTTCCGGCCACCCTGGATCGAAATAGTTGGTTTGCTAGGTGTGTTTTCCTGCATGATGCCAAAGGCTTTTCGTTCCTAATGAAGTGGCAAATGTCATGAGTGACCTGGCTCTGAATTACAAAGCATTGTAGATGGTTAATAACTGACTTCACTAAACTTGACGCAGGCATTACAAACTGCTACAGACAAGGCGAGCTGCTACATGTTGGTCGTCGACTCGACCGGGCTCTTACGCGAGACTTGCGCTTGTGGCTGCCTCATGTCCTCATCCAAAAGTATGTGTTTCCATCGCATGAGTCGACGATCCCCCCCCAACTTCCCTCCTACATACCTCTTTTTCGCACGCACTGTTAGTACGTGCGCGTGCACCACCACCTTAAACACTAACATTACCCCTAACCCTGTTGGAATAACAATATCACATGATTGTACGACGCCTATGGGGCAATTGATTGTAAGACGCCTATGACTTATTTATAGGATTGTTATTGTCAAATCGTAGGGATTGTAATTATTGGTTATCACTACAAAGGGATATCCCAGGTATCACGTATTAATTTATAATCAGGATGTAGTTGTATTGCTTGTGTTATTGTATCTAGACTTATAGCACCCTGTTGTAGTATACCCTCTATAGTAGGGGAAGGAAGGGATACTGCCAGGTGAGGCGGTATGTCACGTGAATATTACGTGACCTACCTCCCTAGAGCATACCTACTATATACTAACACTAGTAACTTTCTATTTAAGTAAAAGCTACTAGTGCCTTAGCTATCTAGATTAGCTTTAAAAAGCCTAAAAACATAATAAAAACAAAAGTCTTAAAAGTATTAATATACCTATATAGTACAGAGGTGCGTTTTAAACCACTATACTAGAAATGCTAAGACCACCCTATGTTAGTTGATAAGGATAATTACAGGGGTTAACACCTAAATAAATTACTACTAACATTTTAATAATACCTACCTAGAACTTCTAATTAATATCTACTAGTATAACGCCCCTCCTTATATTTATTACCACTATTAAGAGTAATAATAGCCTTAATATAGGCTAGCAGCCTCTCTATCTAGGCCTAGATTTACTCTTAAGGTAAGGCCTACTAGCACTATTACTATACTCTTTAAGCTATAGCCTAGTTAACTAAGGCACCTTTCCTTATTATAAATTACTTTATCTAGGGCTAGTAAGGCTTAAGAGGGTTAAGATTAAGGCTATTTAACACAGCCTTCCTAGCAGCAATTATAGTTCTAATAGGATAAAGCTAGGCTATAGTAGTATTATAAAGTAATATAGTGTAAAGGTAAAGTGTAATAGGAGAGTAGTAAAGTAAGATAAATAATAATAAGGAGCTAAATAAATAACATAAGATAAGATAAGTAATAAATAAGAGGTATATTTATTATTAACCTTTTTTTTATAAAAAGTTACTTACTAAAGAGATATATACTTAAGGTATATATAATATATTATATATATATTAGGTATTTAGTCCTTACTATTTATTTATCTCCTAACTATAGGCACTTACTACTTTATTTTATAATAAGTGCCCCCCCTTAAAAAGACCTTATTTTCTTTTACTAAATACTTTAAGAGCTAATTAAGAAAGTAATAGCTACTATTTTCTTATCTCCTTAGTATTATAGCTTAATATCTTAAGGTCTTTTATTTATATCTTAACCTTACTATTTACTTATTATTATTATTACTTAAGTTAATAGCTCTAGTCTAGTGCTTTTTAGTTTATAAGCCTATAAGGCTACTAAGCTTTTTTACTAGTTAAGATTACTTATTACTTTTACTACTTAAGCTTATATTACTAATAACACTTTAGGTAATAGTATATATCTTTTACTAAAAGTAAAGTATTTTTATAAGTAAAGTAACTTAATTTTATAACTATTTAAAATCCTTAGCCTTAAACTTATTAAAAATATTAAAATTATTTATATTATAGTTAAGGTTCTTAACTTTATTTTTAATAGTATTAATTTAGTTTTTAATATTATTAATTTAGGCTACTTATTAGTAAATCTTTTTAGCCTTAATATATAAGCTTTTTCTAATAGCCTTATTAATATTACTTTATACTACTATAGCTACTTTAGCCTTATTAATAGCTATTACTAAGGTAGTAGTGTTTTTTATATTTTTATAAATTAACTTAGTGTACTTATTAACTTTAGTAGTAAGGTTAGTAACCTAGTCTTCTAGCTAGTTAATTAGGTATAATTAGCCCTATATATAGTAAGTATACTAAATTTCTAATATAAAGATATAGTTTAAGTACTAAATAAGTAAGAGGGTACTTATAACCTTAAAATTACTTTACTTAAGTTAGTATAAAATATAAAGCTAATTAATACTATATGACTAAGGAGTTCTTTAGACTATAGTTTACTTTTATTATAATTAGTAAGGATAGTGTTTATAAGGGCTATAATTTACTATTAGAAGTACTTATCTAAGGTTAAAGAAGTATATAACTATTTAGTATTAAAGCTTTATTAGCTTATATAAAAGCACTATACCTAGACCTTAGTCTCTTTATATAGTATTTAGTTACTACTACTATAAAAGGCTTTATTAAGGTATATAATTACTTTTTTTTTAATAAGGATTATTAACTTTTTAGTAGTAAATATATTTTTATATAAGGTAATAGGTGCTTTTACCTTAGCTACTATAGTAACCTTTTTTACTATTTTATTCTTAGCCTTCTTAATAGTGCTTTATTTAGTTAATAGTATACTATTTTAATTAAGTATATTAAGGTATTCCTTAATATATTTATAAAGCTTATTATATTTCTTTTATTACTTAACTATTTCTTATTACTAAATATATTTATTAGCCTTTTTAGTCTTATTATAAATATTATCTAGAAGTTTAATTTCTTTAGTTAGGACTTTAAACACCTTAGAGTTTTTACTACTTACTTTATTATTATTAAAGTTAAGGTTAAGATCTATATTACTAGCGTCTTTATTACTATAGTTAGGGTCCTTTATAGTAGCCTTATTATTTTAGCCTTCTTTACTTATACTACTTATACTAATATCTAGTTAGTTATTATCTTAAGCTAAAAGATTAATAAAGGTAAAGCTAGGTCTTATAGTGCTACTACTATACTTCTTTATAGGCTGCTAATTACTAGTAGCACTAGCCTAAGTAAAGTAGTTAATATACTTAAATATCTTATTATTATTAATATTATTATTAATAGATTTACTAGAGTTAAAGGTATCTTAATTAAGGACGTCTTTAAGTAAGTTAAATTTACTTATAAAGTCGTAGGTTTTCTTAATAGTATAACTATAAGGTTATATATTATATTTATAATTAGCTTTAACTACTACTAGCGTTATAGAAAATAAAGGTAAATTTTAATATAAAGGTAATAGTAGATTATAAAGAAAAAAGTAATAAGTTAGATAAGTTAAATAAGTTAAGAAAATTAGAAAATAGTAGTTATAAGTAAGTAAGTTAAAATATCCTCTAGCTATTAACTATAGGTATAAGTAAGATAGGTATAGTTACTTATTTTAAGTAAGTGCTTTTTCTATTTCTTTTAGTTACTAATAGCTTATAGTTATTTAAGTTTTTTTTACTATATTACTATATAATTTAATAAAATAAGTATATTGTATATTAAGGGCGTTATTTCTTTTTATTAAAAAAAGACTAAAAACAAAAGTGTTATTAAGAATAATATTATAAGGCTAAGTATTACCTTATATTATTAAGAAAGATTATAATAATTTAAGTAGTGTTAGTAAATAGTTCTTAAGGAATTTCCCTAGCGCTAGCTTTTAGTCTTATTTCTTTATATACTTTACGCTTTAGTTAATAAGGTTATTTCTCTTATATTTATTTATAAGATTACTAGCGTTTAGTATAAGATTCTTATAAGGTTCTTATATATTATTTACTAGTATATACTTTTTCTATTTAATAAGATACTTAACTAATAGCTAATTTCTTTTTTAGTTAACTTTTCAACTTATAATTTATTTAACTATATACTTTTTTATACTATTAACTTTTACTAGCCTTAGTAGTTATTACTCCTTACTAAAGGGGTTTTTACCTAAAGGTGCTTTCTATAGCTATATAGTTAACACTACTAGGTATACCTTTTATTATAGTAGTAAGTTAAGTTTATAGGCACTAGGCCTAACTATATAAGTAATATAGAAAGGTCCTACTTATTATAGTAACTACTTCTTTTTAAGCTTACTAAGAAAAAAGTAGCCTTTACTAAGTTAGAGGAATACCTTATTACTAATAGTAAAATCTATAGGGTAGTAGTAATAATTATATTTAGAGAGTTAA